GCCATTCCTTCTTTCTAAAAAGAACAACAAGGTAATTCTTAGTAACGAATAAAATATTTTCACATTCTATTAAACTGTACAAAATATTTAATACATTTTACTGTAATTTAACTACGTAACATAAACTCAAAATTATATTATGATGTACTACTCTATCATTCCAAATATTCATCGTTTAAATTGCATGCGATTACTGACACCTACTGAAAATAAATATACCACATACTAGCAATATATCTAATATGTTCTTGCATATGTCATTTAACTTAAATATACAAAACATATGCAGCATGTAAAATATACAAAAGAAAAAATACATTTTTAAATTCTCCTAAAGACGAAACAAATTTCATTTAAAGTCCTACTTTTCTATTCGTTTTTTATAAAAACATTTGTATATACATCCGCAGTCTAGTAATTAGTAATAAATTATATTGTGTAATTGTATAAATAAGCAATACAATTTCACAAAAAACAAATTTTCTAATACAAACACCAATAAAAGAACTTCATTTCTACAATTTATAAATAACTGAAATGTGAAATCTCAAAAAAAAAAAAAAAAAATTGGAATGTAAGAAAAATGGTTTTCGATTTTCAATGAAAAAAATCGATTACCAGAAAAATCTGCCAATAAAATGTTGATTTAAAAATTGATTTTAAATTCACAGTAGCTGCGTGTATTATTTGAGATTAAGCACCGTGTGAAAATAGTTTCCTTTTATACATAACAAACGAATTATACCGACTAAGGAAATAAAATAAACGAAAAAATTCGATCTATCATACGAAACCAGGCATTTAATCCCTCGGCTAATCACTAAAAAAGCTCTGAATTCAAATCGAGAAGAAAGAATTAATAATTAAGTTTGTAAGTTTGTCGACCTGAAGTTTTCGATCGTTCGTCAACCGAGTAACACGATTTGTTTTGCCATAATAATCGAGCAGTTCTAGTCATGGGGCTATTATCATTCGATATCATTCTTTGTACGCCCCCATGTGTCTGAGTGTACATCCGTTGTACAAACCACTTCCACGCTTTGAAAAAATATTTCTAAAAATATATATTACTCCAGCAGTAGATTAGCCTGTTACAGTCGAGAAGGCTTAGTTTTTTAAATTAAATACACGTTCACCGAATAACTGCCGACCCAGTGAACAGAAAAGAAACCATTTGAATTAAGCATTAAGCACTGTTTTTCTTTCGTCAATCTTTTCATGAATCTTGCAACTTCGAATTAATTACAAACTATTATATTATTTAGAAAATTTTATTCGTAAACGACATGCATTACTAAACGTATAAAGCTATTGTTTCAAATTTTAAAAGATAAAAATAATTTTTTCACATAAACACGTGATAATGTAAATACTACTTTATATCTTAAAATGTTAATGTCCATTAAATTTTTTTTATCGGGTTTTCTCTTATTACAAAAAATACTATATTTTGTTATATTGATAGGTATACATACAGGGTGTTCAGCCACACCTGGGAAAAATTTTAATGGAAAATTCTAGAGGCCAAAATAAGACGAAAATCAAGAATACTAATTTGTTGATGGAAGCTTCGTTAAAAAGTTATTAACGTTTAAAGTTCCGCCAGTACTGAATTTTTTTCTAGAAAGTGGTTAGGATTTCGGTGGTAGGTCTAATCACCAAATATTATTGTACTTGACCCCCGCAATCGAAGATAATTTTTCCAGAACGATTTGAAATCTTTTATTTTCACCGAAAAATTTAGGCACCTACCCCCTACCCTCTTGTCGGTTTTTCTTAAAAATTCGTTTTTGATGTTTAGTCATTTTGTTTGACACTCTACAGAAAAATTGTCTAATACTGTTTTGTAGGTCCTCATGGGCTCTGCTTCAGAAAAAATTTCAATTAGATACCTTTACTATTGTAGAGTTATGGCCGTTTGAAAATTGGACCAGTTTTAGGGGGTTTTTCTCACATTACAGTGTCAAGGATCAACTTTTCGAATATTTATGGAATTCCTACATATTCTCCACTAAAATACGTGTTGTTTGCATTTTGAAAATTTAAAATCCTTCAATCCGTTCAAGAGTTATGACATTTTAAAGATTCGCATGCAGGGAAGCATTTCTGACCTCACATTAGATTTTCGGTAAAGAATTTTTTTCTCGAAAGTGCATAGAATTTCGGGGTATGTCTATTCACCAAAAATGCTTGTAATTGACCCCTGTAACTAAATAAAATTTTTTTAGTATGATTTGAAAGTTTTTAATTTCGTCTAAAAATTTCAATACCTACTCGAATTTTTTTCTCGAAAGTGGGTAGAATTTCAGAGATATGTGAATTCACCAAAAATGATTGTAATTGAGCCCTGCAACCAAAAATAATTTTTTCAGAATGATTTGAAATTTTTTAATTTATTTTTTAAATAACTTTTTAATGAAGCCTCAGTCAAGAAATTGATATTCTTGATTTTCGTCTTATTTTGACCTCTAGAATCTCCCATTAAAATTTTTCCCAGGTTTGGCCGAACACTCTGTATAATAACATTTACTGACTTTTTTATCAACATTTAAAATCTGGAAAATTTTTCTGCTGCACTCTGTATAAATTCCTGATGTATAAAAATTATTTAAAAATTCATGTGTTAAAAAAATACTACAAAACAAGAAACCCAAATTATAATTAGAACAGTTGATCTGATTTATAGACCTTCTGTCTAATGTTACTGATAATATTAATGTTATGATTAAACTTACTTTAGTACTTCATATTTATTTTCTTTATAAAATGTTCTGTTTATTATGCATATGCATGGGCATCTATGTATGTAGATTCTTTCTATTCGTTACTACTTAATGTGTTGAAATAAAGAAAACATTTAATAAACATTACTGTTAATCTACAGAAACTGTTAGATTTAAACATAAATCAATAGTAATAACCTAAAACTCTCTAGAAATTATTTATATTCATAACTTAGAAGACACAAATATGAAATAAGTATAAATATTGAGAATACAGACTACAGAAAATATACTGACTTTTGTGTTGAAAATCTAAGCTGTCGACAGAAAACAAACTGTTACTTAAAGTTTTGAGAACAATAAGTAAATGCTCTATGGTTTATTACAAACAAAATTATAAGAGATGACTTGAGAATTCTAACAGTGAAATCTAAAATAGTTAATTTTGGCAATAAATATACAAAGAAACTTAGCAACCACCTAAATCAACTAGCAGCAAACTTGATAGATGAAAGAACCATTATGAGAAAACTAAAATACAACAAGCCATTGAACTTTAACAGATTTACTTAAATAGACTTAAATCATTATACAAACTTCAGATAGTACAATTATTATAATTGGTGCGGATCACAGAACGTACATCAACATGATATTATTAAACTCTAGTTAATCAATTTACTTATTGCTCGTAGTCAGATTGTAAATTTATATGGAAAATACACAAAAAATTAATATCTTGTATCCAGAGATTAAAGCAGCTAATTAATAATCTTATAATCATATCAACTGAAAAATTTAATAAGTTTATTATTTTCCTAAGAATCTATTTCTCCTTAATATTAGAAAATGTCAATTTGGGTGCATAAAAAACCATGAAGAAACTAACCTGCATAACTCTTATACTTCGTGATACTACATATTCATATATGAAACTATATATACGTATGCATCTTCTACATTATAAAAACTAAACACATGTCAAACAGAATTATATTTACACGTAAGGTGAAAATAAATATTGTGTTTCAATCATATAAGATTATCAATATCAATCATTTATCGTAAATCTATCCTCGCATCGATAAAAGTGTCTACATCTTTTAGAACTATTTCTATACGAACGTCTACAATTGTAAAGAAATAAATAAGGTGATAATATTTTAATATAACGTTTATACTTTGCTAAGAGAAACATTATTCCACATTAATCGCAATTTTTATACGTATATTTAGTCACACGATGCTAATGCTAAAGCAGATACAGAATACAAATGAAAAGTAGAGTTAATAACCTTCTTTTCTTGTCAGATCAAGATTCTGAAAGCAAGCGCAATTTTCGTATATATTACAAATTCGTAACTATCGTCAGTAAACATTTTATTAAATTATTGATGATATATGTATGAACAATTGTGTACACTTAGGTAAAAGTCATTATTAGATGTTTCAAATCAGCGAAATAATACATTCTAGAAATCAGGCTTTACAAAAATTTCAATAAGACCAGCAATTTTACTATAATTTAATTTGTATTTTAATTATGTATTACGATTATTACTATTTACAATACAAGATATTTCGCCGAAATTTTAAATAACAATGATATCACATAAACCAATCACAGATGTGCTGTTAGTAACCAGTAAAGAACATGGCGTCTTTTCGACATTTATTTCCACTTTAGTTCTGCTGTATATTTTGAAAGTACATAATATTAGAATAAATATATTCATTCATTATTTAAACGCGACAATGAAATAGATCGACGAATATGCCAATAAAATGTGCCAACTAATCAAACAGATTTACGTCGATCCATGCATTGAATCGATATAAACATTTCCTTGCTCAGATCATTAGAAGTAACAGTTTTAGATAAATAAATAAGTACAATTTAAATTAATACACTCACCGTACTTCAATTTAGTGAGAATAGTACACTGTTTGAAACGGGAATTGAACTAACCCCCCGCTATGGTTTGATACAGACGACAGCTGTTTGGAGTTTCCAGTAGTGTCACTAGATTGCTCTTCCGACAACGTATATAGCGGGAAGAATTATACAATGAAACCGTTTCGTAATAATACGTTGATATTCATATCTATACTTTAATATTTATAAGCGTAATTTATATGATAACAAAATTATTCATAAAATTAGTAGAATTTTTTCGAGCACAATAAATTTTGATCTTGTTTGTAAGATAAAAAACTTAGTACGTGAACTTGTAATTAACTAAAGGTAAACAAAGACTACATTTGAAATGACAGGTATTTTTATTATCAACATTATTAGTACAGTGAAACAGCTAGTATTATACAATAAGATAGTGCCGTTTTACAATAGCGCGCCGTAAAGCATTTTTACACGTAATACAGCATTTGACTGAATCATCTGTTTTCTTAATTTGACTTGCTTCTTTTTCATAGAGATACATAACACTTAAGTTGCTCGTCAATTTCAGGGTTAAGAGTTGACATCAATTGATTAAACTGATTATCGCCAACTAATCTTCGTAACGTAAGTAACTAAAACAACAAATATTATTAAAATAATTCTTAATGTAGACGTTAAAACGTATTCTGGGGAAAATATTAGTGCTATGACTATAAATTATTACTTACAAATATCTTGTACTTTACCTGATTTTGTAATGTATTTTTTAAAGAGGTACAGAGCACAGGATCACTGATATCAAATCTTCTTTTTCGACGTTCATGTTCACTTCCATAATCTTCATCCTCGTATTGTTGTAGACTAGATTGTTCAGTAATCGACAAAGAGCTAAAATACATACAAATAATGAATTTTATTATTACATTATAGTAATGCACCACATAATATCCATATTGATGTCAAACAGGAACATTCCGCGAGAGAAAATATCCCAGAAACCGACCATCATTATCTACATCAAGTTCACTCACCTTTGTATACAGAGTGCTTGGCCACCCTTGGGAAAAATTTTAATGGGAAATTCTAGAGGCCAAAATAAGACGAAAATCAAGAATATCAATTTGTTGATTGAGGGGCTAAAATCGACAAGGGGGTAGGGGGTAGGTGCCTAAATTTTTCGGCGAAATTAAAAAATTTCAAATCGTTTTGGAAAAATTATTTTTGTTTACGAGGGTCAATTACAATCATTTTTAGTGAATATAGATATCCCCGAAATCCTACGTACTTTCGAGAAAAAAATTCTTTACCGAAAATATACTGTGTGGCCGGAAATGTTTCTATAACTTTTTAACGTAGCCTCAATCAACAAATTAGTATCCTTGATTTTCGTCTTATTTTGGTCCCTAGAATCTCCCATTAAAATTTTTCCCAGGGGTGGCCGAACACCCTGTATATTAATAATAAGAATCAAATCAGTAAAATACATTTAAGTAGTCATAGTAAATATAGAACATTATACGAAGGAAAAATTGAAGCATTATTGTATTATATCATTATTCATAATTTTCATATGTAACTCATACTCACTTAATGGCAAATCCTATACATTCATATTCTATATTATCATGTGTGGTTATATCATTAAGAGTTTCGACAATCTTAGATATTATTTGTGGAAAATGTTCAAGAACACTAGGAGGACAATTAGCTTCGAGGAGCGAGCAGAGTGCAAGAGCAAATAATTTACATCTATCCAGACGACTCGTCATTTGTCTTTGATTAACCCATGCACTTATTATTTGTCCGAGTACAGCTTCTTCTTTTTCTTCGTTTCCACCCATTTTTCTGGTTAATTCACTTATTATCTGTATCATAATTTATATATTTACAGTAGACATGTTTCGAATTGAAATTAATCTTTGAGATTAAAACGTATGAAAACAAGAACTGGAAGATTAAAAATAATAATGTATGGGAATTTTAATACCTGTATAAAAATATCTTTATGGAGCCATAAAACTCTTGCCACGATAGACAAATACATAGTTTTCACTATTTCATCATCATCTGACTTATATACGCGTCTACCAAAATTAAAATAAATATTATTGTGCATAATATATTTACTTTGATGTACATATTTATACTCACTCAAATATATTTATTAACACAGGTTTAATAAGCTGTGCACCTTGCCGAGGAGAAGCACGCATACACGTTTCAAATACTACTAAAGTCAATAATAATCCATCTACTCTTAAATCTCCCATGATTGACCTAAGCGTCTCAACTATAACTGCTCCCCTTTGACTTAAAAATTCTTGCGGATTTAATATTATATATGCTTGAACTACATATAAACATAATGTTAAATGTTCTGTAGATTGTTCTGAAAAATATTAAATTTATTTATTATTCTGAAAATTAATACAACCATTTACTAAAAATATGTAAAACTATTAGCTAACCCAGTAATGCAGGCATATTTCTAGCCAAATCCATTATAGCTGGTGTTGCCACAGGTGCATTTTGCAACAAAGCTAACCATAACCATAATCCATCTTCTAACAAATAAACATGATCATCTTGATTAACGTCACAACTAAATGCGACGACACCTACTATCAATGGTTCTAAGATGACACTTCCAGGACCTAATGCCTATTTTTAGTCAAAATATTAAACAATTGTCAAAACATTATGTACATTTAATGACTTAATTAAACAACATAAGTAAAGTGCCAACCTTCTCTAAATGTATGAGTGTAGTAATTATAGCACATCTCAACAAATTATATTCTTCAGATTGCTGCCAAAGAGTTGGTAAATATGAACTGAGAACTCCAACATATGGGTTTATCTCGCTACCAGTACGTTCAATCATAAATGATAGCACGTATAAAACATGCACCTAAAAAAAATTGACAAAATTTTTTTTCTAGAACAAAACGTAATTTTATTAATAATGCAACTGCACCTTACCTTAGTATCGCATTCTTTTACTTCTTTCAATAGAGAAAACAATAATGAAAATGCTGACTCTAAATATGGAGAGAATTCTTCTGGATTAAATTGAAAATCGTCTATCGCGAGTTTTAAGGCATCACTTGCTGCTAAACGAACACCTAAGTCTTCATCTGGACTTAAAACTTCAACCATAAGTTCATATAATTCTGGTCTCAATTCTGCACTTAATTTAACACCTATAATTTTAATACAATGCTTAAATAAAACTATAGTAAAAATAAACATAGTGTTATAATAAACTTATATTACTGCTATAATAATTTTCACACAAAAAAGTTAGAAAATTCACTTACTTGTCCATCGACCAATAAGCCAACATACGCGTCTTCTAATAATTCTGTAATTGTTACTTCGAATTTTCAATTCTTCTTTCAAAGTAGTTGAAAACCACTGATCAAAGTTTACCTAATACATATAATTTTTTTGTAATAAATACTTTATCAAATGCAAGACCTTCTATGCATAGTTGAAGAATTTATATTATCTAATAGTGAATAGGAAATTAAACGAACTATCAAGTAATATTAAAAGACACTAGATAATATGTTACCGAACATTTTTCAGCTTACAACATTACAGTAAATATAAATTTACTGTCGGTTTTCATTTTTAATTTCCTTTCTTTAATTATAGGAATAAGTAATTAATAATAAATATTTTATTCTAGATAGAATTTATTGTAATTGAACGTTTTGATTACTGATTTATCCAGTATAGTGCCTTATTCATTTCTATCGCCTCTCTTTTTTTAACATTTTTCGCTTTTTTCGAAAAAGGAGACTTATATGTTTACACTTAATTTCAATTTTCTTTTTTTAATTATTTGAGTGGAATACCGTGCTAATGAATAAATCCGCAACGCTCTTTAATAATTTGCGCATGTATTTCTGAGGCCCAGATACCAATACGAAAGCATCGCTCACTTATGCCTATGGATAAGTCTGTTTTGTAATATTTCATACCTACCTCGTCATATAAATCGAAAGCAGCCAAACCAACAGCATTATATACTGCATCTTTTAATAGAATAGCATGCAAATTATTTGGATCAACAGGTTGATGATGTCTTTGCATCAACTCAACCAAAACCGATGCACAAACCTCTTTAAACTGGTGGAAAAATGCTAAAAATACAGACACTGTACACGGCTAAAAATAAAATAACATTATAAAATAAATGAATACCAAATGCTATAATTACATACTATCATAAGTAGTATCTAAAACATTTACCCTCAAACTGTATTTCCATGATTCACCACCATCATCAACAACTAAAATTAATTTTGCATGTAACATCATTGGTAATTTTAAAGATATATTTATACGAATATACGAACGAATACTTACAAAAATTTTCTGGGTCTGTATCCCATAATTCCAAATCAGAAGGTGTTAAAAGAAAATAATGTGTTACAAGTCTTGAACAAATTTCTGTTAACATTTCAGGTGTAAAAAATTTTTGTTTTAACTGATGTGCTCTATCCATTGGGTCTTCTACTAGACGATCACGTCGTTGTATTGGATCTATATTAATAAATTCACAGATTTAATTAAATATATTCAAATACTTACGTACAATGAATAAATAATTATTTATACCTGACGGATTGCTACGTCTACCACTTCGAAGAAAATGAGTTAGCATAGCTTTTATCAAATTTAAACACTGAATAGTAAATCTCTCAAAAGCTAAACTTTGACCAGCCTCGGTAAAGCAGTAAAAAACACAAAATTCTAAGGACGTTGGTATCAATTCAATGTAGTAACACGAATGCATTTCTAACACTCCCATTAATACTTTGGTCAAGTGGATTATAAATTTGTCACATACTTCCAATTGTAAACCTCTTGAGATTAACGTTTTTCCTAAAATTATACATATTATCAGATAAGATCAAATTTAAACCATTTTATGGTTCGAATTATAAATACTAACGACACTCAAGGCAGGTTCTTGCACGTTCAAAAATAACTTCTAAGAATAATATAGCATCTTGAGATTTTGAAAGTGAAAGAAATCCATGTACAATAAGTTTCCTAAGTATTCTCAATAAGAGTAATGCTTTTTCTAAAACTTCTTGTATCTGATTCGAGTCTGCTCCGTTTGATGCCATTATTAGAAATGATTCCGTGTAAGTGTTCCATAAATTCAGAATAAAATTGAACACATTACTGGTTAATTCTTGAAAAAGTCGTCTGTCTGCAGCTAAACATTTAGAAGCTAAAGACTTAACAACATGGTGTAATGTTAACAGCGCCCGATGTTGGGCTAAAGGATTTTGTCCTCTTATGACATCCAATAACGTTGGAATTAATGTATCCCATTCTCTAGGGCAATCGTATCTGTACAATATTACTTGATATTAATATTACTTGATTATACTTGATCACATGAGTTGCTTAACAAATACCAATTACCTTGCAATTTTAGCAATCAAAGCTGCCAATTGTACAGCTAATTGATTTATAGGTTCCTCAAAATTTGCTATTAAACGTTGTCTAAGGAATTCCTTCTCATCCTCTGCAATTGCACTGGAATAATAATATATTATTAACAATATATTAATTCATTTTTAACTTATGTCTAAAGTAATTTGTAAATTGGTTATTATATTAATAAATTGCTATTGTCACAAAAGATACTCACTTTGGTGCATTCTTTCTCCAATATCTATCAACACCATTTTTGAAATACAAAATAGCCATCCACCTAATATTGACACTCAAGGAATGATTAGAAAATACATTCTGAAACAATTATTACACATTAAATTGTTATACCTTTGTTAATTGCACAAACAAACACTTTTACAAATTTACCTTATTATAACAGTATTTAACTAACAAAAATTATATGCTAATAAATGAAAACATAAATATTCCATGATACATTCATTAGTAATAATACGATCATGGATTGTATTACATATATATAATATTATATATGCATATATATAATTTACGTTTACTCATAATTGAACAAGAATTTTAACTCATGCATTTAACTTACGAATAATGCAGTATAGAATCCTCTTTCAGTTTCCCACTGTTTTAGTGTTTGTTCAGCAGGTTTTAAAATATTAGGATCTTGACTACCCGCTTGTTGAAGAACTTCTATCACTGAAGCATCCATATCTTTCTACTAAATGAATTTTTTGTTAAAACACATATATTAGTTAATGAATATTGATCAATTATATTATTATTGTATTATTTTAAGAAGTTATCTAAAAAGTTAACAATGAACATGTGTTAAGGACATTTTCTCCCTGCAATGTTTAACTTTATTCTAAAATTTCAGAACACCATTCTTACCATTTACTAATGTATTATGAGTATTATACAAAAACAAATATCTCGTCTGTAGTTAGATTATTTCCATTAAACAAATTATCATTTTACTTGTTCCGGGTGAACAGTCCCTAACCTATAAAGAAATAAATCATACGCATCCAAATATTACCTATCTTATAGAGGATTTGTAGAACTATTTTCGGTATACTCCATTTATCACAAATATCTATGTATTAAATCGATACATAACGAAAATCATCGAAGACACACTACATCAAAATGTCACACACGCCCGCAAGTCGGCATTTCAGAACACTGCCCCCCTCCTGCTCTTTTCGTTTTCTATAAAATACAGTGGTGACAGTTATTGCTATAGTGTAAACCATTTTACATGCATAAAAGGCAATTTGATTCTTAAATTTCACAATTACTTTACAAATATAATTTACTAGACTAAATTTATTATATTAATTGATGTTATTTATTCAAAATTATCCTTGTTTTGAAAAGAATTATGAAAAAAGTGAACGTTTCATTTTAAGGAAAACTATGTAAATAATTCGAATACAATATATTTGTATTAACTCGCATTCCATGTAAAAATAAAGTTCATATACTTTTGTTTAAACCAATTAGCTGTTTACAGTCATATCAACCACTCAGACAGGTTATTAGCGACTCAGTAGGGATCATAGGGAATACATATGTAAGTATTTATTTGGCAAAAGATCAATTTGGCCTATAGAATAAAAGATCAGCTTTTCCAACCATTTCTGATTCACTCCTACTCTGTGAGTTCTGTGGAGACAAAAGCAAGATGGAATAAGAGTGAGTCAAAGGAACTGAAAGCGAGCGAGAAACGGTACAAGATAGACAAGACATTGACACTTTGTCTTCATTCGTCTTTCAGATGCCAGATTCTCTGTCCTTTGTATATGTGACCAGCATGCGCGATAAACGTAAGCGAATAACTTGCTCGATGGGCGTAATCACTCAAGATACAGAAGTCGCGTTTACGATCAGTGTTTCTCGCTTTCTTCTTGCCGAAAGCGAAAACAAGATGGAACGAGTCCTACTCAGAGAGACTGAAAGGGTCCGTAAAATGGTACAAGACAGATGAAGCATTGATATTTTTTCTCACTTAGTCTGTCAAACATTTAATACTCTATCCTTCGCGTGCTAGATGTATCTAGGTACCATGACTCTTCAATGAAAAAGAGTTTACACATTTAATTTAAAAGTTTATTTTATTTATTACTGATCGCTGACTAGTGACTGCAGAGAGGAAGACAGAATTTTAATTGAATGACGATAAATGAATAAAAACTATAATGATTTATTCGCAACATTTATTAGATTAACCCTCAGCCGGAATAGTAAGAAGGTTACATATAAAGAAATGAACAACGGATTTAAAAAAAAAAACATTAATATTAATTATGAAGAAGGTTACAAAAAGGAAATAGAAAGTAGAATAAATTATGTTTTTCTTAATAACAGAGAAAAATGTAACGAACGAGTAAAATAAATGAAAACAACAAAAAAGAATATAAATTAAACTTTTAACAATAAAATGAACCATTTTCAATTAAAGTAAAACAATTTAACATTTGGTGATTAATAACAAAAATAAGCGTGAAATCCTTCGATAATTATTGTTCAATATTCAAAACGAAATTAATTTCTCTAAACAATTTTAGAAATTATAGGTTATGTTGTGGGAATGCAACGAAGTGAAAGTAACGGTACTGGTTAAGAACTAGAAACGAAGCAATAAAAGTAGTTGTGAATCATCTATGATCCAACGATACCAACTGAAGATTAAACTATTATTTAAGTAAATATTAATATTATTTAAACAATAATTTGATTGTAATTTTTACTGAATAAATAATACATCAAAATTTTTTAATCTTTTATTCATTATTCGATATTTTTGTTTAGATTCAAATTCGATCTATCTCCAACTGATAGGCAGTGCAAGCAATTTATGATCCAAAGTTTTAAGTCAAAACTTTCTTATGCTTTGTGCTCATTACGCATACTTGTTGCGCACATTTATCGTGCATACGAAGGACAGAAAATCAGTTATCTAAAAGACGGAGAAAGACGAAATGACAATGTTTTGTCTGTTTCAACCGTTGTTTGTTTTTTCGTTCTCATTTTCGATAAGAAAAAAGTGAATGAGAGACGGCCACTCAAAAATACACTCCTCGTAGGTACATGTTTTTTCGTTGGTCCGAAGCAGTGACTGAACAAATAAATACATATTAGTTATGTGTGTAGTTTTTGGAAAAGTTTAATTTGTTTTAAAATGTTCAAAGCTATAGTATATAAGAATTATTTTTTTTTCATCGTGTTATATAAGCTATGTCAAATTCACAACTAGTATTAATCAAAAAAATTTAATAATTTTACATTTTTATGCAATCTGATATATATAGTATATCTATCTAGTTCCCAATATTTTTGTTTGCGTTAAAACTATTTACATAAATATTTGAATAGCATTATTAATAAGACTATTAATGTTTATTTATCGTTATTTTTAGTTCAAAATTTCATTTGGTTTAAAACGGATATCCGATACGCGCACTCTAGCGACCATTTAAGCACTTCACCTTCTTTCGGTTTGTGGCTCGTGGCACTGTTTCACGTTTTACGCGATGAAGGTACGAATCCAACAATATTTTGAGAATCTTATGAGAATTACAAATAATTGATAATTACATTTATAAACGGAAAAGTTAATAGTTTTTTACATACATAATTTGTTAAATATTTCTTCGTCTACAAAGGTTTTATTGTAAATATTTCTGGCACTAGACTTTAATTTACAACATAAATGCTACTAAACCATCACATTTTAAACAACTTCAATGCTTTAGTCTACCTATGAATAAAATTAGGAATGTCGAAGTTGTGTGCTTTTATATTATCAGATATTAAGAAATTTTGTAACATGATTTCTTATTATAATACAAAAACAATTAACCTTAAAAATAATTTTTGATGTTTAACATTTATTAAGAAGTATAATGTTCATGTTCTTTCTTTCTAGCTGAACGTGTCCTATCCTGCAACAGGATGTCAGAAACTATTCGAAATTTCAGATGAGCATAAGCTTAGAATTTTTTTTGAAAAACGCATGGGCGCTGAAGTAGAAGCTGATGCTTTAGGCGATGAATGGAAAGGCTATGTTGTTAGCATTTCTGGTGGCAATGACAAACAAGGCTTTCCTATGAAACAGGGTGTTTTGACAAATGGTACAATTATTACAATTCTTATTTAATTTTCTATGTAACTATTATATAATATTTTCCTTCATAATATAGCATTTAAATTAATTTGGCTATAAAACATTATAATTATAATTAGGTCGTGTACGTTTACTGCTCTCAAAGGGACATTCATGCTACAGACCTAGACGAGATGGTGAACGCAAGCGAAAATCTGTTCGTGGATGCATTGTTGATGCCAACTTGTCAGTACTTGCTCTTCTTATTGTCAAAAAAGGCGAGAAGGTATAATTGTAACATTGTTTAGCTCATTATGTACCTACTGTTTCAACCATGTTTCAGGGTATATCAAGAACTTTCTGATTGTGTCTTATGGTATTATCATAAACATGGGAGATTAAATATCATTTTTTAATTTGGGAAATAATATTATGAAATTTGTATTTTTTCCCAGTGTACGAATGATACATTTATTAATTTGTATAAATTTCTCAATTTATTATGAAATGAATATTACATAAATTTGTTAAATTCTTGTTACAGGAAATTCCAGGCTTAACAGATACTAATGTACCACGACGTTTGGGACCTAAAAGAGCAAGCAAAATTCGAAAACTCTTTAATTTAGTAAAGCAAGATGATGTGCGTCAATTTGTTGTAAAACGGCCAATTCAAAAGGAAGGCAAAAAAGAACGGTTTAAGGCTCCTAAAATTCAACGACTTATCACTCCTCTTACTCTACAGGTAAATATATTATATATTCATTTATCATTAAATCCCAGGAAAATTACTGAAGGCAGAATGAAATACGTAAACATATTATTTTTACAGCGGAAACGGCATAGATTGGCTCTGAAGAAAAGACGTTGCTTGGCTCGTAAACAACAAGCAGCTGACTATGCAAAACTGTTAGCACAAAGACAAAAAGAAGCAAAGAATAGACGTCAAGAAGAATTAAAACGAAGACGCAGTGCTTCGATTCGAGACTCTAAGTCATCCAATCAGTCAGCACCCACAGTGCAAAAGTAAAATGCTTACAATGATGTATTAATCATTTAATAAAAATACTTTCATTTATCTTTATCATTTTTCGTACTCCTTTTATTCGACGTTATACATGTAGACAAATAATATTCTTGTCATTTCACATTTAAAATGTTTTTATGCGTTTCGTAATCCCTTGTTTTACTTTTAAAACAATTTTTATTTCAAGCTCAATTAAAATATACATTTTAGAAAAAATGTATAAAAACACCTTATATATAATTATTAAAAAACGAAACAAATTTTTATGTGATTAAATAATAAATTATAATATTGTGAAAACACAAATATAAAAGTGTAATAAAATTGATAACAAAACAAATTGAAAATATTGTTATTGTGAGCTAATAATATTAAGTCGAAGTGTTACAACTTCATTAACAGAATTATACTTCAAAATAAAAATATATATATGTATACATGTATTGATTGTACTATTTAAAAATTACACCATAACTTTTCTATAATGTAAAGAAGAGTGGTAAGAATGATTATAAGTAAATAACAGTATTCTACATTCATATTTAACTCAAATTGAATGTAATTTAAACTTACTCTTCATTATTATTGCATAATACAATTTTCACATTATTCATTTTGTATGTTATTTATATAATATTGAAGATTAGAATCGCATGCTATTTAAATAATTTTCAACATTTTATATATTTTGTAATTTTGATTAAATTCATATTTTTGATATGTTCACTATATGTATATGTATATATTGTGAATTCAATGCATTCGATAGTATTGTGCGAATTTCCAGTAAATTAAAATTTTAAGCAGAAATCAACAGATTCAGGGAAATTGGAACTTAGGGCGAGCGAAATACATAAAAAAGAAAACCAGGCGAGACAAATGGAACGGCTAGCTACATATTAACAATGTCCAAAAAAATATTTCGGTTTTGTTTTTTAGAGAAGATAAAGTTTATTTGATCTTTTTATATAAAATTTAATCTTTTTCAAGATTTGTATAAAATATTTTAAAAAATTTTTCAAATAATATACAGGGTGTCTTTTTTAATTGGACTTTTTGGAATATCTCATTTGGGAATGAAAATATCAAAAAAATATTTTAACAAAAGTTGTTAGGTACGAAGGGGGATATAATGTTGTATAATTATTTTTTATGTGTGCAGTAGTGGGACAGATTTCAAGGACAAGTATGTTTTTTTAAACAAAACGCTATATTTTTTTGTTTTTAATATCACAGCTCTTTTTGAGACGAGATAATACATAACACTTCGTTTTATGGAAGGCTGTAAAAACATAAAAAATCGGAGATGAAGCAGCCTGACACCGCTTGCCTTCGGCTAGTTAAATCCTGTTTCACCTTTCACCGTGCCAGAGATGCCAGAAAAGCACCGCCGGGTGCACACGCTCCCATGCCAGATACGCGTACATGAGCTCGTGGAGTTTCGGAAAGTCGACAAAGGCAAACTGACGCATGCCCTCTTTCTCGATTCTCCGAAGCTGCCCGAAGTAATTTCAGATCGCCTCGTGGGAGTCGAGAGAGAAAGGCTCACATTTGCCTTCTCGCTCTAAACAACTGAAATCCGACCCCCTTCAACAGCATACGATTTAGATTCTCGAGCCGAGATTCTCGACTGCCCAGGCATTTTTACTTTCCGACCTATGTAGGCGCACATAAGCAAAGTACCCATAATGAAAAAAACATTTTGTAAAATTTATTTTACGGAAATACACGTTTTAAGACCTCCTGATCATATTTTAATTATTGAAAAAAAAGAAATTTTTTTTATTCCCATGTATGAGCACACATATGTATATTATTATTACGATTGAGTATAAATAGCTAAATGAATTTAAATGAAACTTTACATTTAAGTTTTATGTTCTCATTTCAAAGTCCGGTTAGACTTTGACTATAATCAGTCCATGGATAATAATGATTATACCTCTTGTTTCATAGTTGTTCCGATATATGTATAGGCATAATGTATAAAAAATCTTTTAAATGTTTCATATAAATCTTAGGACGAATTAAATTTTATATATGTTATACAGACGCGTAGAATGGAATTAGGAATTAAGAAATACGTAGGGTATTCGTATACATGCTTTATTCCCGTTCTTTCAGCGTCGGAAAAACAAATGAGCCCGTCCTGGGCCTAGACCCTCGCCTTTGTCGTCAGCCTTCTCCCCCATCGGTAGGGGTGGGAGTGTTGACGGACGAAGGCCAGACGCGGTCCCTTGCCAGCGCCACGGCTTGGGCCTCGCCTTTTCCCGACGCCTTACATATAAAAAAAATTATATAAACTTTTTCTCTATCTTCACTAGAAAAGAAAAAATTAAATGAAATCTTATACATTACATGCTTACTTAAATCGCATTGAAAACGAATACCACAAATGTTTTAGAATAATGTGCAAAATGTGATTACGATTTTCGCTAAGACAAATTGAAAACTCGGTTCTAACAAGGAAAAGTTGGAATGGTACCCGATTTTGGGTTAGGTTTTACTTTGAGATATTAATAAAGTTATTACAGATACTTATCTTCAGAAATAGAAATACATTCAACAACCAGCGTGGCGTGAATGACAAGGTATTTGCCTGCAAGTTCCGAGCTTCTTCTGCTCTGCAGGTTCAAACCCTGCCAAAACAAATCCTTTTTTTTATTTTTTCAATCATATTTTAATCGTACACTAAATGTGACATTATATTTTTGTCTGACCTTCGAATATTTTTTTTTTTAAATTGAATTTAACATATGTTATTTTCAATGTACGAAGTACATGAATCTGGATGGTACTTTTCGTAAAAACAGTGAAAACATAACAATTTCAAGCACCACCTACATCTAATGAAAGTTCTGTTTTCACAGAAATAACAAAATTTTGTATCTAACTCTGATGGAAAGGCCGCTTCATTTACATTGATAAAATGTGAACGATTTTCGGATAGTCGTACCTTGTAGCTCGTACTTTTTACCTTATACTTCAGGTAAAAAGGGATATAGCTGGGAAAAAACAGTTTTATGACATTACCTGCTAACTTATGTTACTGTTCTACAATGAAACGCTATGTTTTGTACCTTTAAAAATATTCGACTATGTCCTTTTAAAATTTAAGATACAACCCATACTTTGTATTAAACTGGCAAACGGGATCACTTTTCCTTTGTTTCTAGTTAGTTCTATTTAGTTTGTCATAACAAATTGATACGGTTATCTCAAAACAATCGAGGAAAATCATTATTAATTAATTTCTGCAATTATTAATTCTACTGTTTTGTTTATGCTATAAAAGTAAGAACTCTTCTTATTGAAAAATACCACAGCGTGCACAATACTGGTAAAGAGTGGAATCTCATTTTAATTTATTAATTTTCAATCTTAAAGTATTTTGATTTTGAAAAATCGTATTAATAATATATGTACATATGTACGCTCATACATGGGACTAATAAAAAAAATTTCTTTTTTTTCAATAATTAAAATATGATCAGGAGGTCTTAAAACGTGTATTTCCGTAAAATAAATTTTACAAAATGTTTTTTTCATTATGGGTACTTTGCTTATGTGCGCCTACATAGGTCGGAAAGTAAAAATGCCTGGGCAGTCGAGAATCTCGGCTCGAGAATCTAAATCGTATGCTGTTGAAGGGGGTCGGATTTCAGTTGTTTAGAGCGAGAAGGCAAATGTGAGCCTTTCTCTCTCGACTCCCACGAGGCGATCTGAAATTACTTCGGGCAGCTTCGGAGAATCGAGAAAGAGGGCATGCGTCAGTTTGTCTTTGTCGACTTTCCGAAACTCCACGAGATCACGTACGCGTATCTGGCATGGGAGCGTGTGCACCCGGCGGTGCTTTTCTGGCATCTCTGCGCCCGGCCCGAATAAAGGAAGGGACAATCTGGAGGGGCCTACCGCACACTGATTATGCCAGATCTGGCCACACTGGGCCTACATGTGGGCTGGGCCTCGACCGGCCGGCAGAGCGACACACTTGAATCCGGAGATCGAATGTGAACGGACGTAGCATTGTAACTTAAGCGAGATCGTACTTGTATCATTTGAGTTAGTTAATTGAGTTGATTAAAGAGAGAAGCTTTTTGAATTAAGAGAGCGGAAGTGTACGAACGGGTTATAATAATTCCTGCGAAATCTTGGTTGTTTTGTTTTATATTCCTTTATTGAGTTAATTAAAGTTCTATTTACGTGTGTTCAAATCGTTGTATCCATTTATTATTTTCCTTATCTAGCGATCTCCGTTTGAAACTCCCGCGTCCAAGGAGCAGAGTGCCTTAGCACTTTGTTGCGTGACCACGCGAACGTAGCCCCAGAAATATA